CACTTTCAGTCAATCAGTAAATTCATCCATTCAAACATTCATTTATTCATGTTGCACAAAATGTACATTTATACTGACAAACAAAGGACAAAAAATACACAAGTCTCGCCATACTGCTACTTAAATCTCTTAAATCAGCTGTTAAATGGAGGCCAAGATGTCTGACCCTCTGCCCCTTGTTCTGTCCTCTGTGACTCTAACCATCACCATATCCCTGTTTGTGTGTTTGTCTAAGTGTCACCACGGTGTGCAGTTGCGTTGCGCACTCGTAGGTGGAACGGATGTAGAATTTGCTGCAGACAGCGGCGCCACAATCACCAGCTTAATAGGCCGTGAAATCAACACTTTCGCCGTGGAGCGAAGCCAGGATCCCCGTCCCTCTCATTGCCCCCTTAACATGGTCACGTGACGCATTAGGATAACAAATAGGCTGTAACGTCTGGCACTAACAAGGTAAGTGGTACGGGGTCTGTACCGTCAGGTGCGGGACCATAAAACATATTACATCGCCGTCACCTGATTAGCTGCTGGCTGCGATGCTGCTTCCCGCCGCTCGGCTGCAGACCCAGGATGGACTGACGCTGACTGACTGATCAGACCACACACCCGTTCAGACCGGCAGCTTGTTTGTGTGTTTCACTGTTTGCTCTTCCTCAGATTTACCTTCTGCGTCCTTGACAACTGAAAGACACGTCCAATAAATGAACACAACACGCAGCAAATGAATAAATCAATCCCTGACTTGGATTGAGTCTGACATTGTTGGGGAAAGTCGATACTCAGACGTTGGATACCTCAGATGTTGCTAAACCAAACTTAACTCAATTTATCAGCCTTTTTAGAGTCTGTTTGTTCCTTTTATTTCTGTACTTCTCCTCACATCTTTGATGGTGTTTTAGGGCAAAATACACATCATTTCTTCTCATAAATACTAATGTGTGTGTGTGTGTGTGTGAACTCACATGAATCCTCCTGTGCTTCACTTTACTTTACTCTCCCTTGACAGGAGAAACTTGCCTCACAGCAACCATTAAAAACACAATAGAAAACATGTAGTGCATCAATATGGGAAAAAAAATAAAAGAATGAACATAATCTAAGAAGACAGTAACCATTAAAATGGAATTATTTTAGGCAGTTCACATTCATGGTATCAAACTGAGCTCCTCCAGGGTCCTTACTACATCCAGGTTATGTTCTCTGCTTTTTTTGGGGGGGAGTTTGGATATTTTAGAAAGCTGGGATTTATAGTTTATATTCTACAATTTAAAAAGTAGGAACATTGTTGTACTTAAAAGGCAGATTCAACTGTTTTTACATTCAATAGATCTAATTTTGACCACAAAAATAATAATAATAATAATAATAATAATAATAATAATAATAATAATAATGTCAGAAAAATCATTTTTTAAAAGTTTTGCTATTGCTACATAGCTACCGTTAGCATTAGCAGCTCTAGAGCATCAAACTTAATTCCTTTACACACTAAGAGCTGCTCCAGAGGTGGAAGTCAACCCTCTTGTTTTGCTTGTATTTCTATCACTTCCTCTCTACTGAAGTTTGCATGCTAACCAGCTAGCTGTGGCTCAGTCGGATTATATCGTCACTTTCTTATACTGAGTCACTGCAGCGTCCAGGCTCCCCAAAAGAAGTATCACTGCTCAGAGGATGTATTATAACTTCTTGTATTGCAAACACAACAATGGCTGAAGTTCTTGGCAAGACTGGTAAGTAAACAGCTGTTAATGCTAATGCTAGCTATGGAGCGATAGCAAAACCTACAAATAGCTCCTTTAACAGCATGTAAGCTGTCATGTTAGGTAGTTATTTGAAAAAAATTAGTTGAAAAATCAAAACACCTTTCAGTATTTCAAAATAACATCACATTAATTTGGCATTTGTTTTGTTTTTTTCAAAGTATCTTAGGTTAAAGATACACCATGTTGAGTTTTTGACCGCTAGCAATGCTATGAAACAATGTGTTCTGCCCTTTTTGTTTACATTGTGCACACATATGAGCGTGCAACACACATTACTGCTGCAAATCAACACACACTAACGTTCCACAAAAACACATGAGGAAGGAGACTGCAAAGCTTGCAAACATAGCTGCAGAGAAAACTGTTCCAAAATCTGCTTTGAAAATGTTTTAATGATGAAGGAAGGAGAGCAGGACAGGTTGTAGGTGCACATGAAAACAGGATTCTTTTAAAGGAGAAAGGCTGTAACTTTCAGTTCCTCTGCAGGTTGTTTGGGAGGTCACAGTCGACCCTGTCCTCTCCTGTTTAGCATCACACGGCTGCGTGCTGCATCGAAAGCTTCAGGTGTAGATACAGTCACCAGTCAGCCCTCTGCAGTCAGTAATGTGGTCTGCCAGGGGGGTTCAGTTCCTCTCTATAAACAGTATATTCTCTAAAGCAAATAGTGCAGCCCTATACCCAGCCCTCATTATACACTCTGGCTGTGTGTTTAAGGCTCCTCCAGGGCCTCCGTTCCCGCCGTCACAGAAGTGAAACTCAACAGCAGACTGAGCCCGGCTGAACTAAGCTGCGCTGCGCTGAGCACATTCAACACGGCGCTCTGCGGCTTTGTGCTGGAGAGGACAGCCAGGGAATCTGCAGGATGTTCAGACTGAGACAGATTTAAGACTTTTAAAGACCTTGTTAAACAGAAATCTGTCCTGTCACGATCGTCCCAACTTTCATGTCCTCTCCTGTGTAAGCTGCACGGATACTGCAGATAGAAGAAAGTCACATTTTAAAACTTTCTCAGAACTTTTTGAGCAGAAATCTGCAGCCCTGTCGTCTTTGACATGCTTTTCATTTCCCATTATGTCTATGTTGCATTAAATCTACTGCTGCGACCTGTTGCTCGTGATCACTCCACCACTTTTTCTGTGTTTTGCACATTGAAGAAAGTCCAATTTAAGACATTTAAAGAACTTTTTAAAGAGAAAATCTGCAAGTTGCAGCACTGTCTTGATTCTCCTGCATTTTCTTTCCCTTATTTTCCCATTATATCTTGGTTGCACATAATCCTTAGGTTGCAAAAACCCTAATTTAAAGCCTCTTTTACACAGAAATATGCAACTAACAGCCTGTGATCATCACAGTTGTTCTTGCTTTCCTCTTTCTTTCATACCCAGCTTGAATGAAATCCAGCTTTTGTATGTATAAGACTTTTTAAAACAAAAATGAAAAAGCAAAGCACCTGCAGGCAGCTGAGAGCAACATTTATCAACCTGTAACTTTATATATATATATATATATATATATATATATTATATATATATTATATAAGCATGTGTGTTAACATTTGCTAGGCCAGAGAACAGCATATGGCTTCAGGAGAAACAGTGGTGGTGGAGAAGAGGGGAAAAGGATAGAGAAAGAAAGATGGAGGGCAGATCACTATAGGATTGACAGGTGTCTGTTCACCGTAGGTTTGGCTGTCAAGTTTGGACATGAAAGAAAAAGAGAGCTATCTTTTGCAGGTGCCTAGTTTAAAATAGTTTAGCATTTTCAGTTTTAGTTTTTAGCATCAAAGCAAGTTAGATATGGAAAGAAAGAAGGAATATATATATATATATGTATATATCTGCCAGTAAAATCCTGGTTGTGATCGTCCTGCCTTCCTTTTCCTTTTTGTCCTGATCTTTCATGTCGAAGTTTCACTAAATCTGGAGGCTGGAGCTGATTCTACCTGCTGTGATTGTCTCACAACTTTTTTTTCTTTTCATATCCAACTTGCTTTAACTCTAAAAACTAAAACTGAAAATGCTAAAATATTTTAAACTAGGCACCTGCAAAAGACAGCTCTCTTTTTCTTTCATGCCCAAACCTGACAGCCAAACCTACGGTGAACAGATACCTGTCAATCCTGCAGTGATCTGCCCTCCATCTTTCTTTCTCTGTCCTTTTCCCCTCCTCTCCAGCCACCACTGTTTCTCCTGCAGCCATATGCTGTTCTGTGGCCCAGCAAATGTTAACACACACACTCTGCCTATAGAGGTCAGTGTGAACTTACAGAACCAGATTTACCAGAGGTCAGCAGACTCGCTGACAGACAGACGAAGTCGTGGTGGAATAAAGATTATGCCATGTTTATGTTACTGGACAGCGGATGTTACATTCCTACTGTATCTGCAGTACTGGTTTTAATATCAGCGTCTACAGGCTCATTACTGTCATATCAATATCACATCACCTTATAATCTGTCATTTTATCAGCAGATAACTTTGCGTTGTTATGTAAACAACAGTGATAGCGCGCAATCATAGTTATTCATTTGTTTGTTTATTTGCAGCAGTGGAAGTTCATTTGTGCATCTTTGAGGTCCTTAAGTTGGCTATTTGTATTTCATTCTTATTATTAATTTGAATATACAGATGTTACACAAAATATGTGATGTTACCTGCGTGCTTTGTTTCCTGTTGGCTGTTATTGTACAGCACTCTGGTTGTTTTAAATGTGCTTTATAAATAAACTTGATTTGATGATTTGAGTATTTAATCATTTATTTATCTATTTGTTTATTTTAAGATTAGCGAGTATAAATTCACCAATTCTAGGCTTACAATATTTATTTGAATTATTTGAATAACAGAGTAAAGATAAAATAACAAGACTTTCCAGGTGAATAAAGGGGAAATAAAGTGTAAACAAAAGTCACTCTGAAGTTGTAAAAAAAAAAAAACCTCTTAGAAAAGATCTTAAAAAAGTGTTTATTGTTGTTTTTAATGTTAATTATCGTAAAACGTGGTTGGCATGAAGATATTTTATCTTTTATTGACCACAGATTGTAACAGGCCAGTAAAAACACAGTGGGTCGTTCAGTGTGTGTGTGTGTGAGAGAGTGTGTGTGAGTGTGTGTGTGAGTGTGTGTGTGAGTGTGTATGTGTGTGTGAGAGGAATGTCGCAGGCTGGACTGAGCTGCAGCAGCGGCAGCATCCAGCCGGTGAGATCAGACCAGCCCGGCGGGCGGCGCATTGCTACCTGGCTGGGATCCTGCACGGCTTCCCACACAGAGAGTTTGAGAAGTGCTCTGGACTTCCTGGTACGGGACCATGGACATTTTCTGCTCCACTCCGGCCGGGGAACTACCCGCAGCGATGTGAACGAGGAGGACCCGTCGAGTTGAGAGCAAGGTGAGCGTGTGGAGAGTTTGTTAGCCCCGGTGTTGTCGGCGAATGTCGGAGCAGATGGGAACTTGTCGAGCTCCTGAAATGCATCTGTCAGTGCAAACGGTAGCGTTACCGCGGGGCTGAATGACGGTAGCCCATTAACGGTCGCTTTTCAAAGTGAAATGAAACATGGCGCCGGAGCTTTTTGGACTTTATTGGGCGTCTGTTTAAAATTATTCAGGTTGTTTTACGTTTGCGAAAGAGGGTACGTTGTGTTTTATTATTGTAAACTTTGTGCTTATTTGTATTCACTGAGGCCTACCTAGCCAAACCCACCACTGTTGAGCTAACAGAGTAGAACAAAGACACTTCCGGTATCATCCTACAAAGTAAAAGTCTTTATTTACAACCACAACTCAACATCAGAGGGGTTTGGGGTGATTTGGTAAAGCTTGCGATGGTCTTTATAAGGCATACAGTATATTTGCGTATTTGTAGGTAATGAAGAGTTCATCCCTAAAAAATATGTTCTGTTCCTAGCTAAATCTGTCCCTCTATTTGTGAGTTTATTTGGTACCCTTAGCTGAAATTAATGCAATCTAATACTCAACAAATTCTCCCTTTTGTGAAGGTTATAATTCAGTTTCTGTTAAAACTATGTCAATGTGGTTAGCTGTGATGCTATCAAATTGTATTATGTTATACCAGCAGGTGTTCCTATTATTTTGTCCATCAGTGAGGGTAAACTAAATAGCAGAAACACTTCCCTGTAGAATGCCATACAGATCAACAGCACCACAAACTACATCCTCAAAAATGATCACACTGTTGAATCAACACCTCTCTGAAACAGTTTCAGTAAAAACTGAACATCATGACCTTTATGAAGGGAGGATTTACAGTATTTGCTTCCCTGTCATGAGCTAAAGTTTTCTCGTTCTTGTTTACACAAAAATGTTCACTTGAATTTTTCACAAATGTACTTTATATATATATATATACAAGACTTGTGTAAATCCCAATAAATAAATTAACATTTAAAGTAAAGTTAGCACAAAGCAGAGGAAAATAAATTTGTTAAACTTGACTAGAATACATTACAGTAAAAACAAACATAATATTATTCCTAAAAATCCTCTATTTAAAATGTGGTTTTAAGATAAATGGTAAAGTTCTTGCCTTTTTCTAATGCATGAATGTGGATCTGTCGAGCCAGTATTTTATTTTGAATGTTAAAACGCTCTAATTCCGGCCCCATTTCGGTGGATTGTTGCAACATTGACTCGGCCGAAACCCCCTCGGGCAGCCTCCCGCAACGGAATCAATGGGGCCGGAGCACCAATCACAGCCTCCCGTTGGCTGTAACCGTGAGTTCCGAGGCTCGGGATTGGCTGTGACGGGTTGTCAATCACTTTGATGAGCTCGGCGCTGCAGCTGCTTTATGTAGCGTTTAAATGAATCGAGGGGCTCAGTTGTTTACAATTTGATACAAGAACATATGTTGAGATTAACAGGAGCGGGTCTGTTTTAGTGCATGTGTTTAATAAAGTTGAGCCACCGTGTGTTATTTCCCGCCTCAGAAGAGACGGGATAGAGTTACCTTTTAGCAAGGTGCGTTAAGATGGAAAGAACGACAATAAAAACGGATATTAGATGAATCGTTTTCAAAATAAAAGCGCGAAATGTGTCGGTTTCAGGGTCAAAACTTAGTACCGTTCATAATCCGGACAATGTATGGAGCATATTATCAGTGAACGTAGCACATATTTATATTAAATTTAAAGTAAGATAACACTATATAAATACAAGTATAAGAACATTTTATACACTTATACATCATTAAACCTCCATGCCTTAAAAAAAAGGGTATTAAGGCTTCGAATATAGGCCTATATCTGAATGTATATATATCTATATATGTATATACATATATAGATATACAATATATATCTTAACATTTGTAAAGCACAACTTCACCAAATCAAAGCAACGTTAATACATTCCAGTCAATATCAATCACAATATATGTTATATGGTTTAAAATTGATGTTTTATTTTGAAAATTGTGGTAGGAAATCATATCTCTTAATGTTGCAAACTTGACAGTGGTGTGTCTTTCAATCCTTCCTATCCCGCTTCAGGATAATGCGGCTTAAGGCAGTCAGGAGCTTTACAGTTTGAAAACACAAGGCGTTTGGAGTGGTATTGCACTACTGTGACTGCGTTTAGCTTCAAGACCTGAAACCTTGTAATGCACATGCAGGACTGTGGAGTGGAGGATAAACTTGACAAAACAAAAAAACAACCACACAAAAATCAACTGCTTGAATCAGAAACATATATTCCCTTTACTGCAGGCCTTCGTCTGCTTATCACTGTTGGTGTCATAAAAATGTGGTTAAAGTCTCACTTTTACACTGAGCGTCAGCCTGCGATGAAGTGAGCAGCATGTCAGGATGTGTCAGGGTCAGACTATCCGCTTTATCAGCTTTTTATTTGGAGCCATTGTGTCACTGCTGCTGAGTTGCTTTTCTGGGATCAGCCCTTTCCCAGCTCCGTTGCAAAATAGAGGAAGAAAGGAGATAGAGAGCAGCATTCCTGGGAAAGGCGAGTAAGTAGAATATTCATTTTTTATTCAAGAGCTTGTGGACACCCCCTCTCCCGTTGCTTGCTGTCTGTTTTGGATTGTTGCTGTCTGTCAGAGAGATCAGACGTCAGACGGAGAACATCACCTGCACAGCTGTCGGGCTTTCAGTGTCTCGCTCACAGACTGGAAGCTTGTTGCTGCAGCGTTTTTGAGGTTAAAGGTCTGATAAGTGTTCGTGCCACCCAGCTGCCAGCACACCATTGTCAACGTTTGACCTTTTTACACAAAACCCCCTGCTGACTTCTAGAGGTAGTCGCTGTGCTCTGTGGCATTTTCACAACCTATTTTGGATGCGAGGCACATTTGCTCTTTGCTAATAATAGTGAACTGTATTTCCCCTCCATATCAAAACATGCTTTTAATCACATTACCAAAATATAGGCGTCTAACAGCTGCTTTTTATTCACATATGTTGCTTTACATTCTGTATTCACGCTGACCAACAGCCTAAAAGCAAAATATAATCAATTTACAGAAGATTTAAAGGCAGAAAAGCAGCAAATCTTCACATTTGACCAGTTGAAACTAGTGTTGTTTGGCATTTTTTCTTTATTAATGAGTTAGAAATGTCTGTCAATTAACTAGTTGACTAATCCACTAATTTATTTCAGCACTAGTTAAAAGTTAAAAATGTCATTAGAATTACAATTAGTTCATGTAAAATTTGTTCTCTTTTACTTCTCACTCTGTTGAATACCTGGCCTGAGTAAAGCATTCGATCCGCACACGCTAATCATTTGTGCCCATATTGGGTAAAAAGCATAAAATCTCTGACTGATTCAAAAAAAAAAAAAAAAAAAGAGGTAGTTCCTCAGTGTGGAGTTGAGGCTGCTGCTGGATGTGTGGCTCGGTGACAGAGAGGAAATGGGAAAAGCCCGGCAGTCGTCAGGGTCAACAACCACAAATTAGTTCATCTCCTTCTTCTGTTCGCTCTCTATCTCTGTTACAGCATCTGCTGAGTCTCTCAAGAAACAATTGAATGAGCCTGCGTGTGTGTGTGTGCGTGTGTGTGTGTGTGTGTGTGTGTGTGTGTGTGTGTGTGTGTGTGTATTTATGTGTTGTAGTAATGACGGTTTATTTGCCAGGTTGCACAGTGTTATGTGGCTCCCCAAACTCCAAACGCAGGTTTTGTGCAACTGAATGTCTGTATCATAGCAACAGAGACTTTCCAAGGTCTCTCTCTCTCTCTCTCTCTCTCTCTCTCTCAGCTACATACTGACAGTCTCTGTCTGTTGTGGCTGTAATTTTACTCTTGACCCTAAGAAGGACTACGTGTCCACGGTGCAGCTGTGTGTGTGTGTTTGTGTGTGTGTGTCTGCGCCTCCTCAAGGGAGTTTAATTCGAGCTTAAAATGTGTTTTTTCTTGTTTCTGTGAGTGTGATCATTTATAAAGTAAAGTAGCAAGATAGAAAAATTAGTCAAATTAACTCCATTACACGTTATTTAGCTTGATTTTACTTCACTTTATACTATAACCCTAACCTGACAATTATCAAAATATTGTCTGTCAGCCAACTAACAGACTAATCTTTTCAGCACAAGCAAGAAAGTGAGTTTTGTTTTTTATTTTCATTATTAAATTTGACTTGAATCAATTTGCAAGTAGGTTTAAAGGAATAGCTCAACATTTTCCCAAAGCACTTATTCTCTTTCTCGGTGTGTAGATTGATAGAAGTCCTGTATCTGTGCAAGAAAGCAAATTTTGAATTCGAATTGTGGATCTTTTCCATTATAAAAGTCACATGTTTCTGTGTGAAAGCTGCAGATTCCTTGAATTTGCAGGTCGGCTGAAATACGATAGGAATTTCAGTATGGTGCAGCAGAATTCGAGTGACTTCATCAGGCAGGCAGCCCACCCACATACCAGATGTAGTCCACACACACACACACACACACACACACACACACACACGGTTCCTGCATTCCCTCACTGCTGTCCAGGCCTTGGCACCAACCTGCTGGTGCTACCCGTCTTTATTGGCCGCTGATCCCCGCTGGCTCAGTCCACCGCTCTCTGTTTTAATGCCCGGCTTCATAGGAGCGACACACAACACACCACCAGATGCTGAGCCGCCCTCTGGCCTCTGTGTGTGTGTGTGAGAGAGAGAGAAAGAGAAAGAGAAAGAGAGTCCCGCTCTGGCTCCTGACCCTGCATCAAATGTAACTAACCTCGTGTCCAACAAACACGCCGGTGTTTGGCCAATATGGGGCTCATGAAGGCTGATACAGATGATGTCGGATCAATCTGCCACCAGCTGGCTGCTCCCTGTTGTAATACTCACATGTCACTTTGGGCCGGTTTAACGTCAGTGGCCTGTTAGTTCACCTCAGAGACGTCTAACCAGTCTGAGGGTGCATGGTTACTCCTTAACACGCCGTGACAGTGGTTACACATGTTCACAGCCGCTGTCCAGCCGAGTTTACTACACCACAACAACAGAGGTCTCGTTTGTTGAACAGCGTGTTGGCTGTTGTGGTACCAGAATATTCACAAAATAGAATCCCCTCCTCGTGGTTGTATCCCTCCGCCACTCAGACTAGTTACAGGTTACATGCGTGTTTATCCAGAGTCATTCAAAATATGAACCATTTGTGTGAAATTTTGTCATAATTTCTAATTTGAAGTCTTGAGAAATGGGTAAAAAGTGTTTTCTGAGGTCACACTGACCTTGACCTTGACCTTTGACCTTTGACCACCAAAATCTAATCAGTTTGTCCTTGACTCCAGGGGAACATTGTTACCAAATTTGAAGAAATTCCCTCAAGGCGTTATGGAGATATTGCATTCACAAGATGAAAACCATGTTTTGTGAGGCCACCGTGACCTTGACCTTTGACCTTTGACCACCAAAATCTTATCAGTTCATCCTTGAGTCCGAGTGAATGTTTGTGCCAAATTACAAGGGATTCCCTCGAGGAGTTCTTGAGATATTGCGTTCACAAGGCCAAAATCATGTTTTGTGATGTCACCATGACCTTGACCTTTGAACTCTGACCTTTAGCCATCAAATTCTAATCAGTTCATCCTTGAGTCCAGGTGAAATGTTTTACCAAATTTGAAGAAGTTCCATCAAGGCGTTGCTGAGACAAACTGATTCGATTTTGGTGGTCAAAGGTCAAAGGTCACGTTGACCAAACAAAACACTCTCCAGATGTTGCTCTGTCTCTGTTTGCTCTCCTCCCGCTTGATCATCAATATGTTAATTTGTAATCAAACACACCGTCTGTGTGAACCTGAGCCCGTGACCCCAGAACTCATGTCGGCCTCTCTAAACTGACCCCGCCTCCTCGCTGACGGTGCGTTTGATTGGCTGCATGTAGCGCAGTCATGATAACTGGCCGGTGTCCCAGCGTGGGGCAGAGGTGGACATATGGTGGATCTAATCCCAGGTCACAGCCTCGGAGCTAAGACTGTCCGCCTCAAACCCTCTGAGATCTCGCTTCCTGTCTGTCGCTCTGACACGTCGTGGCTGAGGGAAGAGTTTCAGGGAGTTGCATGCTGGGTATTCAGACTCTTGGATGTTAGTCCTGCACTAGACAGAGTTTTTATTGTTGTTGGGGAAGCTGAAATGAAGTCTGTCACACCTACAAACATTCTGTTGTTCTTGGAAACACTTGTGGCTGATTAAAAACACATTTCTTTCTAAAAAAAAATGATGCTGTTTTGCACGAACACGTCGTTTTCTGCCAAAATCAAAACCATATTTCACATGAGAGATTTTGTGCATTTGTGTTTGGCCTGTACTATGCGTGGAAAATCCCCCCTTTTAAAATGTTTTACTTTATTACTTTTAGTTGAAGCCTTCTATATTATTGTGTGTCCATGAGGAACTAGAGATCACTCTACGGTCTGACAGTCTGATATATATATATATATAAATACTTGTGAAGATATGTAATGAAAGCAGGATATTTTACAGTTTAACAATAAACTTTATTGTCCAAAATGACATCACTGCACTGAAACCGTAAACTTCACTGGGAATTAAACAAAATAACTATAAAAATAAACTATAAATAAAAAACATAAGAACTAAAATACAACCCCACGTCAAATAACCTGAACTATCCCTTTAAATGGCCCTAAATAGCAATGTTTCTATTGGGTTTTAAACTGCTGGTTGGATAAGACAAGCAATACCAGGACATCAGCTTGCATTCTGGGTATTTTTCTTTACTATTTTTGACATTTTACTTACTAAGTAACGAATTCATAAATCGTAAAACTGATGAAATGTTATCAGTAATAATAGTCATCATTGGTTTCAGCGCTCCCATATCAAAATGTTGCCGTCCGCTTTAAAGACTTCACCCACTTTAACTCTGCATAATAGTTTCAAACTGTCCAAACGCAGTAGTAAATCGGATGATGATGATGATGATGGTGATGATGATGGAAGCATCAGCTTCTCTGTCCGTCCTCAGTGTGAATGGATCTGAGCAACCGTTCTCTGCTCTGCTGCTTGTTTGTCATTCCCTCCGCCTGTGAAGTGTTCTGCTGACCTGTGCTGCTTTTTCCCTCACAGCGCTGGAGGATATTGGATCCTCCAGCTTCTGCAGCGAGTCGAGCTCATGGCAACATAGTGTGGGAGGAAGGAGGGGGGTGGGCTTTGATTTCGACATCACCTGCCTCATTTCCCCCGCCCCTCACCTCTCTCCCTCCTTCCTCATCCTGCTGCAAGCATCTGCAGAGTGATCAAATTACCCATTATTACTGCATACTATCATCAGATTACTGTTATTTAGTCCAATGACCGGGTTGATTCGGATGGATGGGCGCTCGTGCACATACACACACCGCTCATTCAGCCTCCCTGTGCCCTGCCATTTCCATCCCAGCGAAGATGTTAATGAGCAGGCCCACATCCTTTAATCAACTGTGTGTGTGTGTGCATGTGTGTGTATGCGAGTTGATTTGACACTGTATTTGTCTATTTCAATGACACATGAATGGATCTGCGTACTTGGGCCTGCTTCCTTTATCCATTAAGATGTCAGTTATTGTTTGATTTATCATTTTATCTATATAATGCTAGAAAATAGTGAAAAATTTCTATTATGATTTTCTAAAACCGAGGGTGACGTGTTCATACTGCGTTACAGAGAAAAGGAGTGAAAACTCACACTTGAGAACCTGTAACCAGAAAATGTTTGACATTTTTATTCCTCCGCACCGGTGGCAGCCATATTGTTTTCAAGTGGTCCGTCCGTCCAACTGTCCCATTCTCTCAGACACGATATCTCGCCAACCCCTCGACAGAACTTCTTCAACTTTGGCACAAACATTCATTTGGACCCAAGGATGGACTGATTAGATTTTGGTTGTCAAAGGTCTAAGCTATAACCAAAACACGACCATGTTGCAAGCAGGTGTCCTCAGAACACACTGAACACTCGGTGTCTTAAATAATAATTAGTACTAGATTAGTAGTTTCTATCAGCAGCCAGTTTAAACATGGAGTGTTTGTCTTCCCCAGGTCATGAGTGCCTCTACGAGAGACCCAGTGGAGAATAACCTCACCTGTCCAAAGCCCCGTCCTGCCTGGGCCTCACCCTGCCCCCCACCCCTGGACTCCCACCATGAGTAAGTTCCACCCATATTTCTTCATTGAAAACTGCCCGTTCATGTGTGCTCTCTTCCACTTGGGATGCTTTTTTGTTGTGATGCAAATCGCAGGAAGTGGGAGTATTATCTTTTATTGTGTCTCACAACTGCTGTCGTACTCCATATATATACTCGGTATCTTCATATTAACACCATGAAAACACGGGGACACAGCATTTGTGCTTTCTGCAGGTACGTTTTAAAGCCTCAGTGAGGTGCTCTGTCAGTTATTGGAACCACAGAGATCGATATTTGTGCCAAGAGAAGGAATTCAGGGTTGGACCGAGGTCAAACTGTGATAGACTGAGATAGAAAACCCTCACGTCCCTGCTTTGGCCTTGACACCTTATTAAAGGTCCCAGTTTTACACTTCTCCTGTGTTTTATTTTGAAGTGTTGGTCCATAAAAAGATATATTTGTTGTTTTAAGAACCAAAAACCATCTTGATGTAGTTTTACATCTCCTCTCTCAGGCTTCTTTCTGGAGCTCTAGCAACAACAGGTCGGTGAGCCAATTAAAAGAAAGGAGGCTCTGAGCCTCTCTTCTGATTGGCTGTTTTTTTGAGTGATCCAATAAAAATATAGCAGATTTCAGGTAAAACACTCAGAGAAACCAAATCCTGCAAGGTTTGGATGGTGGGTTCAGGCGGGCGGGGCTTGGGTTGTGGCTGAGAGCGGTGACTGCTTGTGACATCACAAAGTTACAGGAAGTCCTGACGGCTGGTTTTAAGGCTCAGTTTCTGAATACAGGCTGTATGCATTTCTCTGTGGACTGAGGCTTTGATACTTTGACAGTATTAATATAGAACCTAGACCTGATCTATAATCAAACAACACATGGACAGAGACCTTTACACTGGATGGGACCTTTAAAAATCAAAACATATGTAAATCACTAGTGGACAAATCTACTTTTTAGTGATTTTGTTTCTGCATTTCAACCCGAGCAGAGTGACTATAGTGATGTCATCTGAAATAATCTGAGCTAAACCATTTAAAGAGGACTGCAGCTTCAACATTGTGTTGTGGCGGTGGCTGTTTGGTGAAATCAGCGGTGGTGTTTGACTTGTCTGATGCCGGATTGGTTACTAGAGCTGGAGGTTGTTGTGTCTGTATTATCTCTTAAATGTGGGTGGAGATTTTCCACCAGCGGTTGAACATCAAATAGATTTCGAATCTGTAGGTTTAACATGTAGCACTGGATCTGCTTTCCTTTGCACCTCCAACCTGCTCCTCCTCCTCCTCCTCCTCCTCCTCCTCCCTGACGGCAGAAACATATGGCGCAGAGGAGAAGTGCTACAACCCTCACCATCTCATCACTCATCAGTCACACTGCAAAGCATGATGGGAGGGCAAATGTAGCGGGATGTGGACTCCCATTATTTCCATCTACATTATCTGTGTGTGTGTGTGTGTGCTCGTCTCCTGCGCCGCTGTATGTCAGTGTGACTGTAATGGCACGGCCTCGCATGTCGGCTCAGTGTGAGTCATCCAGGCTGCAGTATATTCTCTTAATGTCTCATATGTTCATAGATGTGTGAAACGTCTCTCTCTCTCACACACACACACACACACACACACACACACACTGCGCCAGAAGAGCTGATCATTTTCACCACATGGGCCGTGTCCTGTGTTCTGGTTGATGTGGATGAAACCTTATTAATATTTCTTAATATCAATCATTTTTTGATTATGGTATATCAAGTCCAGGTTGACTTTGACTTTCTATTCTTTGTTTAGCACCTTTTAAATCGTCCTCATCCACGTGATATTGTGATGTTTGAGTGAGTTATTCTTCTCAGTTTGTTCATTTTAGTGTAAAGCTGCCAACAACCCCATAAAATACTTGAAAAATGACACAAGAGCCTGTAAAAATGTACCAATGTTTAGCGGTAAGCACTCAAAATATCATTATAGTACAGTTCAGGATTGTAAAAAATATTGTTTCACTACTTACACATGCAAATACGACAGAAAAATAAAACTATAATGAACCCTATTTAAATGTAACGTGAATCTATCACGACTAATTTTTGTGCTTGTTTGTCTTCAAATGCCTGAAAATATTAATAATTCACCTTTAGCTACAGTGAGTAGAAATAAAGTTATGTTACTATAAATAAAACATGCTCATGGTATTCCCCAGGGAATAGACAGAGCCCAGATTGTTGAAACATGCTTTCATATCAGTGTACTGTTCGTTTCATTTAGCTGCAGCGCTCAAATAATCAATCAATAAACAATCCCTCACCGTAACACAACATTTAAGATTTTTCTCATTGATACCAAATCCCAAATTAGTAAATTTAGGAAAGGAAGGAAGAAAGAGAGTTTATTCCTTCACCACCCAGAGTTATTTGCTCTGTGTATCAGGCCTTCACAGTTTACAGCTCTACCCTCTCAGACCTCCTTGTTTTCTTTGCCATTTAGCTCACTTCACAGATAAGGATTGAACACGAGCCAACGTTTCCTCCTGCCAGTGCCGTTAACTCACTCTGCGCTGGACGGTTCGCAGCATCGCCTCCGTGCCGAGCCGCGAGGCTGTAGATCTGTGTACCTGGGGGGCTTGGACTGGGTTACCGTGGCAACCCAGCGCACGCTGAGGCCATAACCGGAAGGCGATTGGATTAAGCAGATGCTGCTGAAGGGTGGTGTTGGTGGTGGGACTACTGAGAGGTTTAACCCGATTACTGCCTTTGCCTTTGCACACTGCCGCCAACTGTGCACATGCACATACACACAAACCGTGTGTGTGTGTGTGTGTGTGTGTGTGTGTGTGTGTGTGTGTGTGTGTGTGTGAGTGAGAGAGAGCGATAGATGATCTGATTGATTGTGAGTGATGAAAATGGAGAAAAGACTGATTGATGAGCTGAGTGGAGGAACAGTGGGAAGTGGTGGTGCTGTCTCTTTCTGTGTGTGTGTGTGTGTGTGTGTGTGTCACCCCAATGCCCTGGTGCATTTAATGTATAAAAAATCAATACATTATTGTGTTAGGAATGTAAGAAACTTTGTGTAGTTATTTGCAGATTGAATCAAACACCATCAAGAGGAACTGAATCATTAGAAGTAAAACAATGTGAAAAGGAAGTGAAAACAACCATCATCAGTTAATCTCCATGTAAACAATGAACTGTCCTGAACAAACTCCGTGCTGCTATTGTTGTTTTAACATGACCTGAATGTGCTCCGGGAGAAAAGGCTTTTATGTGTTTCATTATTTATCTCAACCTTTGATAGACTCACTCTCACTCTCTCTCTCTCTCTCTCTCTCTCTCTCTCTTTCTCTCTCTCTCTCTCTCGATGGTTGACGATGTTGATATCCAGAGCTAATTACCTTAATTACCCGTCCTACAACACACACACACACACACACACACACACACACACACACACACACACACAACCGCAGACCCGGGGCAGGGCGGGGTTAGTTACTCTGAACAAGGATGGATGACTCACTGTGGATAGTGGGAATTTCAGTGGTAAAAGAGAAAGAGTTGGACTCATCTTTGTTCAGGTGTAAAAATGCTTACTCAGGGTTTGAAAAGTGTGGTCCGGGGACCCACAGGGGCCCTGAAGGGGTTCAAGGTTTGTCAGAAATAGTATCAACAGTAGAAGTGAGTATTTGTGGCGGTGTTAAAGCGAGCCAGACAGTAGATATGTGATTTTAGCATGAATTCAAGTGCTAAGCTACTGTTACATTTTTCGTGATCCATCAAGGAAGCAGTCCCCTATACAAGCACAATCATTTGGTATCTATGGCAACACATGCGTGTCAGTGCACGAGTGAGATTTTCCCAGACACAACAGAAGATGAGTCGTATCATATGTCAAATGCAAAACAACTTATAATGCTCGTAATGAACTGTGACCAGGGAAGTTAAATGAACGCAAAAGAGGCAGAACAAATGCACGTAGTCTAAAAGTGAGAAAACAATCAGAAAACAGTTTAATCAGGATCATCTGCGGCTGAATATTGGTTCGCAGAGTGCGGCTAACGTTAGCAGTGCTAGCACCAGCAGCAGGTTAACGTCCACATTCCTGTGCTGAACCTGGTTACGCATTGCTCCTGACACACAACCTCACTCTCATTTTCTACAGATCAAAATACTGATAAACAGCATTGGATTTTATGAGATGTAATCTGTCCCACTTTCCACCTTGTTTGTTTACAACATTCTGCCGCGGCTGCGTAACATCTTCGATATTATTAATGTTGTGCATTCATAAAATATTAATGATAAGTTTAACTGATCCGTATATCAGCGAAAGTAGTAACGTTTAATCGTTTAGTCGACTAATCACATTAATCCCTGCTTGATACAAGGCAGGAAGTCTCACTGAGTATATTGACGTTTCATGTGAACACACACACACACACACACACACACACACACACACACACAGTGGTACATATCTGCTTGTTCATATACACACGGACGCTGATGACACATAATGAGAAATCACAGTTTAATGAAATTGGTATTGTTGTCACAGGTTTTACCTCGGGGACAAAACTTTATCAGAGGCTCCGTCCATTTAAAACCTGCCCACGTCCCCTGAAGCTGCATTAAGTGGCATAGATGAAGTGAATAGAAGAACAAACAACACACAGTCATTATATGTGCTATAGGAAATGGATGCAACGCCGATCGCTAACGGCGAAAGGGAGGGGACAGTGATGACAGATGAAGAAGACACACGGAAGCTGTGTAACGTTTTATTGGTGTTGTATAAACAGCGCCGTTAGTTAAAGGAGCGTAATGGCTGTACAAAGACGGAGACGGGCGGGGACATTGAGTTTCTGTCGGCAGCAGCAGTTTGGTCTGTCATCCATAGAAATAAATAGAGGGAAGGAATGAGACGGGGAAGGGGAAGAAGCTGTAATGGAGTTAATAAGTTCCTATTTATATTCTGTCTCTTCCTGCGGAGGCCTCTGAAAACTTTCCCTGTGTATAAAGAGAGGGAGAATGAAGA